AAAGAATTATTAGAAAATAGATTAAGTTTTGCCAAAATCCACACTGATATTACTGACGAAGAAATAAAAATAATAATGGACTCTAGACAGTCTATACTAAAACTGAATAACACTACTTGGATTTAAAAAAACAGAGACAACTTCGATGTCCCAATGGGATCATTTGATTCAGCTCAAATAGCTGACCTAATAGATATATACATTTTAGATATCCTAAGTAGATTCCTTGACCCTCAAAATATAGGACTATACAGAGATGACGGATGGGTTGCTGTACCTGATACCAATGGTCCGTTAACATCCCAACTACAAAAGAAAATAATTAAGGCTTTCAAATTTCTAGGGTCGATATTTCTTCCAACCTAAAAATAGTAAACTTCCTAGACGTTACATTTAATCTGAACAATAACACTTCCAAAAGGAAAACTAATCACCCATATATATATAAGTATCTACTCTAATCACCCGAAATCAATAATTAAATAAATTCCAAATACAGTAAATGCAAGAATAAATAAACTCTCCTCTAGTAAAACCATTTTTAACCAAAATAAATCGGAATATAATAAAGCTCTATTAAAAATAAATTTAAACAGACACTAAACTATATAGACAAGTCAGTTAATAAAAAATCCATGCATGAACAATATGGAGAGAATTATTAGCTTACCCAATAGTAAAATCTTGAGAGACCTTCATGAGAATCTAATACAAAATCATAATACAACCCAAATGAAAACATCAACATGCAATTGCAGGACAGGATCAGAGTGCCCAGTTGAAGGAGTATGCATGGCGGAAAATGCAATATATGAGGCAACAATTTTCCCCAAAGAGAGTTTTGAGGAGAAAAAGATATACATAGGAATATCGGCGGGAAATTGGAAACACCGACTATATAACCATCGCCAGTCCTTCAAAAATAAATGTAAAAAGAACCAAACGGCACTGTCAAAGCATTATTGTGATTTGTTGGAGGGTGGCTTAACCCCACAAATAAAGTGGAAAATAATCTCGAAAGCCAGAACTCCAAAACATTTCAGAGACAGATTCGACTTATGCATAAAAGACAAAAATCCTCATAATCAAACACAAAGATCCAGATTTATTACTAAATAGACACAGTGAACTAATTTTTAAATGCCGACATAAAAACAACCTAAACCTAAGAAAATACACTGAGAAATAACCATATAGGAAAAATAATATTGAATGACCTTTGTTCTTTTTGTTTGGGAAATGTTACTATGCACGCATGAGCGCGGACACATGACTGTATGTGTATAACTATGGTATTGTACTTGAACACTGATACGTCTTTTAATATGTACATGTATATGTTTTTATATGGAAAGAGAGGCATGCAGGTTTTTTTTTAATGTATATGTGAGTGTGGATGTGTATAATTAGATGGGTACTTATATGTCTCGCCACAGATATGGGATGGCGAGTAATATATATATATATATATATATATGTATGTATAATTAATTATAGGAATTTGTGTATTCATAATGTAATGACGTATTGATATTGATATGTTCTTTGAATGCATGCATATGTGGGTGTATATGTGTGTATATATATATATATAAATATATATAAGTATGCATGTGTGTGTATGTGTATATGTGGGTATATGTGTATGCGTATATGTGTATATGTATAGATGAGCATGTATGGGTGCTTGCATATGTGTGTATATATGTGTATATATATAGGTATACATATAATTATATATGTGTGTATACATGTAAGTGTATGTGTGTATGTGTCTTTCTACAGGTGTATATGTGTATGTATGATGGGTATATAATATAGTTTTGTGTGGATGTGTGGGTATGTGTGTATATGGATTTATAGGTGTATAGGGATATGTATGTATGTGGATCTAGATAGGTGTTCGGATATGTGTAGAGATGTGTATGTGTATGGATATGTAGAATATTATAAAAGAAGGAGCTAATTTTCTGTTAGTAATGTTTTATCCAAATTTCTCCTCTAATATTCTCCAATTGGAAGTGAGTTCAAATAATACGGAGGTAAATTTTAAACTGATTATTTAGTTTAAATTGAAATATATTACCCTTTAAGAATCATTATTGATGATAAAATTATTTAAATTGGAATAAACACTGATAATTATGTAGGTACCTAAAAACAGTCACGAGTTTAATTTATGAACAAAACTCAAACGAATAGATGTCAACTTAATAATCAACAAGAAAAAAGTTTAGGAAAATAAAAAAAGATTACTAGATGTAGAATGAATTATTCTTTCAATGTATTTTCTATGAATTTTTTCCAATCGACCATTTCATAGAAAATACCCAAAACTCCAACAAACATCAAATTAAATTCTTCGTAGATTTTGTGGACATTTAGATTTATATCAAATTTTAACCCCCAAATATACCCTTTAAAGGAATGCGAAATAACAGCGTCCAAGAAATTAAGTGAAACCTTCTCTCATCAGGATTATTTTATTGTATCTTCTTCCTTTTATGTCGGCTTTCCTCTTCACCACTTACCCATCCATATCTAAAGATAGCATAAGTTAAGTGAAGCGTTTGTCTGGCCCACACCAAGTGGGATTCAGAATAAAGAATTGAAATGGTACATCTAACTTACTCATGTCTTCTCTCCCCCCTCACTTCCTCACTTAGTTAATTTACATATGCTTAATACGGCCAGTCAAAAATTTGTAAATTTTTTCATTTTTCATTTCAACATTTGGACGTAAAGTCTGATGATCCAGAGCCCTTTAAAAGGGCTCTGGTGAGCTAATGTATTACACGGAACCTTAAAGTGGTCTATTTTTATTCAATTATATATATATATATATATATATATATATATATATATATATATATATATATATATATCCATTCACTGTTCACTGTTCCCCCGAAACTTCTCTCCTACTAAACTTATATTAGGCGGAAGAGTCTAACATAGGCTCTTAAGAGGGAGGACACCACAACTGTGTTCAGTCTGGAGATAACGTCAGATTATGTATTTTCTTCCAGCATAGTTGCAGTATAAAACAGAAGTTGACTTTATATAGATTGAAAATTACATAAGAATACATGTGTATATATGTGTGGGTGTATGCGTGCGTATAATTGTATATATGTATGGATATGTGAATGTACACATATATGTATGCATGAAGATATGCACACATATACGTATACTGGAAATTGATTTCTTCCATTGAGTGATGTGGTATTATCCATAATCAATAAATCTATAATTCAACTAATTTCCATTAATCTTAACGGGTTTAAATTTTAATCCACCATCGCTTATAAATAATATTCGACACCTGTAGTACAAAAACTAGTTACTTTGAATCCCAGGAAAATAAACTTGGGGCTCGCATAAGAATGCCACATGGTAGGAACTGATTTTAAACTACAAACAACGAAAGGCCCTAGACGTAAATGAATTCCAAACCCAGACCACTTCCCCCGGAATAAGATAACTTACGTCCACGACCGGTCGCTAATACAAGCCCGTTCTCATTAACAAAGCGTCTCACCAGAGGAGGACTGACATTAAAAATTAATATAAAACAATGCTCCGAGACTGACACTTATGGGCTGATGATAGCCGCGTACATAACGGCTAAAATACACTATCCCATGTTGAGGTATTTTTTGCCATATATATATATATATATACACACACACACACACATATATATGTCTGTGTGTGTGTATATATGGTCACACACACACACACACATATATATATGTCTGTGTGTGTGTGTAAGCATATATATATATATATATATATATATATATATATATGTCTCTGTGTGTGTGAGCATATATATATATATATATATATATATATATATTGTCAAATAATATTTCATCCGAATTTTTTTAAATAAGCTGATCATACATAAAATTATATTAAAATCATGTTTTTCGTTTATATATATATATATATATATATATATATATATATATATATATATATATATATATATATATATATATATATATATATATATATATATATATATACTATTATTTATTATTTAAAATATGTATTCATCGTGACAGATGAAATTACCGTGTTTCTGAAATAAAATTAAACTTTAAATTAAACATAAAAGTAAATTTTAGATCCATTCTCAAGCGATGTTGAACTTAGAAAAAAATGATTTACTTTATTTAGGAATACATATTTTTAAATAATGAAATTATGATATTATACAATACTCTGTATCGAGCAAGATTATAATAATATATATATATATATATATATATATATATATATATATATATATATATATAAACGAAAACATGATTTTAATATAATTTTATGTATGATCAGCTTATTTAAAAAATTCGGATGAAATATTATTTGACAATATATATATATATATATATGTGTGTGTGTGTTTTATATATATACACACCTATATATATATATATTTATATATATATATTTTATACACAAACACACACACATGTATATATATATATATATATATATATATATATATATATCGCTTTTTATTTATATGTAAAACAGAAAAAAACTACTGACAGTACGATCATACTTTCTTTATCATAAGTATTTCATAATATTTATGACGAAACATCGCGTCGTTTAAATGTTAGTTTTTCCAAAATGATATACGGTTGTCATGCAAGGCTGACTGTATATAATTTGTTGATCATAGGTATAAAAGTTTGGCCCAGTCGAGAATAGAATCAAAATTGAAGAGGCCGAAAATCGTGCCATGTTGTTCAGTTGAATGATGGGTAACTAGAAGTGACTTTAGTAACAGCGAAGAGGGGAGAAGTCAGGTTGTTGATGGTAGCCATCTTGCCTGCGGCCGATCACGCAATCTGTCTCGATGTCACACAAGTTTTCTGGCGAGCATCGATCCGAAAATATTTCTGAAAAAGCAGGAATTTCGCTTTTCGTTCTGGCCACTTGTCTCCCCGCCCCTTCTTCACTTTTCTATCAAGTTTCATTTAGAGTCGCTTGTTCAAAACAGCTTTCAATTGGTTAAATGGTTTCTGGTCACGACGATAAGCGAAGAAGAAGGAACGGAGAAATAAACGGTGTAGGCGAATCGATAAGAGATGTAAAGGGAAAAATAATAAACCAATGTTAGGGAGAAAGACTGTAAGAGAGAAAAAAAAGAAAAGTTATCGAAAGTAATTCAGTTGGAGGGGGTGATAAGCTTGAAGAATAGATAAGAAGAAAAAGTCTGTAAAGACGTGATAAGAAGAGAAGAGGCGTAAAGATTAGGTAAGAAGAAAAAAGCAGAAAAATTGATATGAAGAGAAAAAGCGTAAAGATTAGGTAAGAAGAAAAAAGCGTAAAAATCGATAAGAGGAGAAAATTTTAGGCAAGAAAAAAGGGTAAAACATTGATAAAAAGAGAAAAGGCGTAAAGATTTGGTAAGAAGGAAAAAACGTAAAAAATTGATAAGAAGAGGAAAAGCGAAAAGATTAGGTAAGAAGAAAAAAGTATAAAAAATTGATGAGAAGAAAAGAAGCGTAAAGAATTGGTAAAAAGGAAAAAAAGCGTAAATAACAGATAACAAGTTAAAACGTTGAAGAAATAAGAAGAAAAAAAAGAATTGATGAGAAGATTTGTTAAAGATTAAATAAGAAAGAAATAAGCGAAAAAAAATGAAAGAAGAAAAAGCGAAAAGATTAGGTAAGAAGAAAAAAAGTAAAAAATTGATGAGAAGAAAAGAAGCGTAAAGAATTGGTAAAAAGGAAAAAAAGCGTAAATAACAGATAACAAGTTAAAACGTGTAATGAAGAAATAAGAAGAAAAAAGCGTAAAGAATTGATGAGAAGAGAAAAATGTTAAAGATTAAGTAAGAAAGAAATAAGCGAAAAAAATGAAAGAAGAGAAAAAGCGAAAAGATTAGGTAAGAAGAAAAAAAAAAATTGATGAGAAAAAAGAAGCGTAAAGAATTGGTAAAAAGAAAAAAAGTAAATAACAGATAACAAGTTAAAACGTGTAATGAAGAATTAAGAAGGAAAAAGTCAAAAAATTGATGAGAAAAAAATGTTAAAGATTAAGTTTGGAAAGAAATAAAAAAAATGAAAGAAGAGAAAAGCAAAAGATTAAAAAAGAAGAAAAAAGTAAAAAATTGATGAGAATGAAGAAGCGTAAAAGAATTGGTAAAAGGAAAAAAAGCGTAAATAACAGAAAAAAAATCAACAATAATGAAGAATTAAGAAGGAAAAAGCGTAAAGAATTGATGAGAAGAGAAAAATGTTAAAGATTAAGTAAGAAGGAAATAAGCGAAAAAAATGAAAGAAGAGAAAAAGCGAAAAGATTAGGTAAGAAGAAAAAAGTATAAAAAATTGATGAGAAGAGAAGAAGCGTAAAGAATTGGTAAAAAGGAAAAAAAAAGCGTAAATAACAGATAAGAAGTTAAAACGTGTAATGAAGAATTAAGAAGAAAAAGCGTAAAGAATTGATGGGAAGAGAAAAAGGGTAAAGAAGTGATAAGAAGAGATAAGCGTAAAGATTACGTAAGAAAAAACGTAAGAATAGATCAGATTAGAGAGAAGAAGCGTAAAGAATAGATAACAAGAAAAATGTGTAAAGATTAGGTAAGAAGAAAAAGAGCGTAAAGAAAAGATAAAAAGAGAAAAGTTTAAAGAATAGATAAGAAGATTAAAAGTTTAGAGATTAAGTAAGAAAACATTGTAAAGTGTACGTAAGAAGAGAAAGACGTAAAGAATAGGTAAGAAGAAAAAAAAGCATAAAGAAGAGGTAAGAAGAGAAAAAGTGTAAAGAATAAATAAAATTAGAAAGAGCTTAAAGTTTAGGTAGGAAAAAAGCGTAGAGAATGTGATGAGGAAGAGAAAAGACGTAAAGAATAGTAAAAAATATAAAAAGTGTAGGTAAGAAATAAAGGCGTAGAGAAGAGAAAAGAGAAATTCGTAAAGAAATGATGAGAAGCGAAAAAGCATAAAGAATAGGCAAAAAAAGAGTATAGAAGAGAAAGAAGAGAAAAAGCGTAAAGAATAGATAAGTGAAAAAGTGTAAAGAAAGAGACGAGAGAAAAAGTGTAAAGAATAGATAAAAAGAAAAAGCGTAAAAATTGGGTAAGAAGAAAAAGCGCGTAAAGAATAGAGAAAAAGAGAAAAGGCGTAAATATTAGGTAAGAAAAAAAAAAAAAAAAAAAAAAGAAGAGATAGCAAGAGAAAAAGCGTTAAAAGGGAAAAGGTTACCAATGAGATGAAAACGAGGTTCAGAGAATAAAAAAAAGGCAAAAATGAAGTCTGAATTCAATTAAATAAAATAGATATTTTAATGAAGAAGAACGCCTAAGGGAGACGGAATGTTAATTGATAGGAAAGAAATAAAAATACATTTTAAATGGCATTCTCTATAAGGACAGCGACCGTGGCTGTCCACAGTTTCATTTTTTATTCTTTAGGAATTGCTATGACTTGTTAGAAAAATAACAGCGTATTTGTATTGGCCTAGTCTACTCTGCGATTTAAGCAGAAAATGAGAGGAGATGAAATGTATTCATGATTTTCCAAGGTCAGAGTGAGAAAGTGAAACGCAACAGATACGAGTGGAATTCGAACTCAGTTCACCAATTCCATTTCCGTTACGATATCCCCATGTTTTATGGCTACTTGCATTATGACCTTAACAATTTTCAATCATTTTCATTGCAGTTGCTATGCATTTCTATAATAAAATAATTAACAATATATATATATATATATATATATATATATATATATATATATATATATATATCCGACTCTCCTGTCGAATTCGACGTATGAGGATCAAGCAGGTTAGATCCTAGGAACCGACAGCCCTACACTAGCACATATGATTTGATTATAGTGAAGGCTTTGTGCAGAACCCTCCACACTTTTTGAAGAGCCGAATACAGAGACCCGGTGCACTACGTTCCACAAGGCCCCAAGCGATCCTCTGCAGGTTTTGAATTCTAGACCAGTTGCTATCCAGGGCTATAGAACCCGGTCTATTCTGCTATCTATTTACCCATAGCTGGAGGACGAAGAAGAGGATTTTTACCTTTCCCAAGGGTATTACCACGTAAGTGAATGTAATGGATTCGACTGGAATTTGAACTCCGCTCTCCATTTCCTCAATCCAAGCCGTATATAGTCGTTCCATTCTTTTAGTAATGGTTCAATTAATTATTGACGCTTGATGATCCTATTGTTGGTAATTTTCAATGTTTAGCATAGATATACATTTCATTAATACGAAAATTGAAATGTATTAATAAACTAATAGAAATAATTTCATGGAATTCCTTATTCGATGAAGCTTTGTTCACATTTTTTTAATCAAGAGTTGCCCTTCTCTGAGGCTAGCTTATATCCAAGGAATAAGAACCTATTCTATTCTTGTTTTGGAAGAAAAAATTGATTCTATCTTTTCCCAAAATGATATCATTTGTACGAAAACTGTCTTCGTTAGAATTTGAATTCGGCCCGCCAGTTCCACTTTACACGTCGATGACGATTTGGAAGAAAAAAGAAAGAGACAAAAAAGAAATTTATCTTTATCTATAAAAGGCGGGATGCGCGCGCGCGCGCGTGTGTGTGTGTGTGTGTGTGACGAATGCACGGCCGCAATTTTCGACGGATTTGCACCAAAATTTACATGTACATGCTCCAAGTTAGTGGGAAGGCCAAGACCGACTTTGCATTTTCCAACTTCCACCGATAGTGGAAATAATCGATTTTTTCATGCTTCTACGGCAATTTTCATTTAGTTTGCGGCCATTTTCTACTGGCCAGAGTGAGAGCCAATAGCTGGCTGCCACGAATAGGCAGGAAGATTCTGTTGGTCAGCGTGAGAGCCAACAGCTGACTGACACGAATGTTAACCAACACGCAAAAAAAATCGATAGCTGCATTCGTCACAAGTGGAAAAAATTTAAATCTGCATGGCACTTTACTCCAGTTGGCTCATTCGCTTGCTTAAACTCAACGTTGATTCTGATTCCGCAGAACTGGGTTGGGTGTGAAAAAGTATTGTTGTTAACATTCTTTTTTCATTCGGTTTTTCCAGTTACGAGTCCTTTTTTTCAAGCTGATCGTTTTGTGTTCATTTTGTTTAGTTCTTTTTACGTAACAGATTTAATGTTTAGTATAGAGCTTAGAAAAATTCACAGTGTGAGATAAGCAAGAAGTAAGGCATGTAGCAACATCAGCACGGCAAAGAGCACTCCTTTAAAGGCAAGGAAGGGCAAAAATATTTTAAGTCAAGTGATAGCGATTGCTGTATGTGTCGTACGATTTTTGAATCAAGCACGGGCAACGCCGGGCCATGCTGCTAGTCTCACATAAAATTAGGAGTAAAATCGGTAAAAAAATTCAAGTGTTAGAAAAAGAAACGCGTAAAATTTTGCGGAAATGAAGTGGATGTTAAGGAAGACAAGAGAGAAAAAATCCAAGAGAATAAATCACAAAACTGAAAAATGTACTATAAAACTAGAGAAAGAAAGAAAAGAAAATGTGGAAAATGATAGGGACCAATAGAGAAAGGGATAAATAAATCGGTATTGGTAAAAGAACAGCCTGCAAGTAACGAAAACAAAACAAATGGATTTAATCTCCTTGTATCTCGCCTGCGGGATGTCTCGTCACCAGCTTGTGCGACCGTGCGTGTGAAGCGGACCTGTGCTTTTTGTATTCGTGCATCGAGATCAAGAGAAAAAAAATGTTAATAGGCAATTCATCAACGATCGGTAATCGAACATAAGGAAACGTAACAGGAATATCTCACACAGCCTTTTCTCAAAAACACCGTAGCCTACAAAGAAGACTAATAGGCCAACATTATTGGGAGCCCGTTTGAGAGCAAGTATTTTAGTAGCTAAATAATTTTAAAAAGCATATGTCATGATTAATTTTAGTGAAAAGTCTGTAATTTCCCAGTTTAATACATACATCGGCAATAGAAGTCCGCTAAAGTGTTGCGTTCTGTCTAATAAAAGGCGGATATTGTTCATATATTTCCACTGATCTGCTGTTCCGGCTTTATATCGCGAGATTATAGACAAAATCCAAAGAGTCTGTAAATTGATCGGTCCCAGTTACATACCCACTGATGTGACGCTGCTTTGCTCCCTCTTTTCTATAAATATTTCCAATGCGATTATTCTCATGATCTCTCCTTGTTGGTACCTCAACCGAATGAATCTAAGCATACTACTAATTTAGAAACTAGGTATCATAGTTTTAATGTTGAAATAACTAGGTAAGATCTATTCTGATAATTTCTTTACTCGAACGTCTCACCCTGTGAAACTCTCTTCCGACTTATTGTTACCCTGACGCTTACAATCATAAAAAATCTAAATGCAATGTCAATCGCCGTCTTCTGTCTCATTGTTTCTTGCTCTTCTATTGTCCTCTCTCTCTCTCTCTCTATTATATATATATATATATATATATATATATATATATATATATATCCAAATATATAATTGCTGTATACGGAATAAATTCCAATAACCAAGAATTACTATTCTTAAAAGAATACTCAATACAGAGTAGAGCGAATATAATTATTGATTTAAAAATTATAACATAAATATGTTATAAAATCACTACAAAAATAGCCATTTTGTTTCGACACCTCTGATTCCTTATCAAGTGATGATGTTGAATGTAGATTGTAGAATAAAGACACCAGAATTGTTGAAACAAAAAAGGCTATTTTTGTAATGATTTTTAAACATATTTATGTTATAATTTTTTTAAATAATTTATATATATATATATATATATATATATATATATATATATATATATATATATATATATATATATCAAATAACAGTCAATATTGAAGTGCAACGTAGTGGTGGCTGTTTCATGCTAGACGCAATCATTAGGCGGACTGACGATTGCGTCTAGCATGAAACAGCCTGTGGCCTCTAAGTGTCGACTTCAATGTTCACTTTTATATTCATATTTACATACGCTCTATTCTGATATTGAGCCCTTTATCCCATAAATATAGCGCGCCTTAAAAATATATTTCTTCACACACATACACACACGCGTGCGCGCGCACACACACACACAACCACACACACAGAGACACACACACACACACACACACACACACACACACACACATATATATATATATATATATATATTCATGGATATCAAACGAAATGACTTTTAACGTTGTTTTCATGGTATTGTTAATACATATCTAACAAATTACACCTGTTAATGTTAATTTTTATTAATATGAAGATTAAAATATTGCTGTTTTTTTCTTTACCAGCCAGTAAGTGTGTTACAGATCCCTATGCTATTTTGATATAATCTATATAAAAATAAGATTTATTTTTCCAAGATGGCCAGCTTTCACTCTAACTTTCCAGTACGTCTTGAGTTCCATAAACTATGTTACCATATATTAGTTCCTGTCGGTAGAACTGAACTACACAGTCCATTACTTATTTGTTTAATTTAACACAAGTAGCTAAAATAGATATGAGCGGTGTTACATCAAACGAAATATCGAATAATAAATCCAAGTAATGAGTTAATTGTTTTACAGGCGTTAGAAGGCACCAGATATGAAAAAAAAATTCTCATAGCAAGTGTTTTTTTTTAGTCTGGGAAAATATAGCTATGCATTTTCATGTTTAGATAAAAAAATAATGCGAGTCATTTGGATTTTTTTTCGTGGGGAAATATCTTCGTGAACAATGTAATTATCATTTCATCTAAAATGTAAAAATATTTATAAGCACTAGAAAATTACGGAAATGTTCCCTTTGAAGCCATTCTTCAAAGACTCTTAGTTGGGTGTAAGTTTTAATGTAATCTTTCTTTTTTATTATTTTACTGAAACAAAAAGTACCGAAGTCAATTCATTCAAACAATAATTTCGGAATAAATGATGAGGAAGAACCAAAAATGAGCAACTCGAAAACTGCCTGCCTGGGACTGTTAATGTTTTTATTATATTACCAAGTATTCAGTTGAAAAGAAAATAAGGTTGTCAGGTGTCCTTTATATACTGAAAATGTCTCGTACTGGATAATTTTTGCCCCTGTCCTGAGGATTCTGATTTGGATTTTGTCGAGAACCAGTGGATAAATAGCTGGGGAAAAATCAGACAGGACGTGACAGCAATATTCGATGCACGGACGAATGGTAGACTTATAAATATGCAAAACAGATTCTGACAAGAGATACTGTCTAGGACGACACAGTGCATCATGATATCTAGCAGCAGACCATTGAGTTGATTCAATATAACCCTTCCTGTACACGTCAATGAAAAACGTTAGACCAGAGAAGGCACAATTACATACTCTGGCAGAAGTTGGCTTTTGCCATGCTGATTGAAGGCAGAAATGATTCTCTTGTACGTTTAAAGGTGAGCATTTTTTTTGTGTTGTTAGAATGAATAAGCCATTTCTTGCCCCAGTTAACAATGGACTGAAGAGCATTTTCGATATCAGCAACCAATTTGAATTAATCGAAACTATCAGACTTACAATTAACACAGGAGAATATACCTGTTTCATCGGCATGTATAAAGAGTGCAGATCTGATGACATCCGGTGGCTCAATTATGAATATCAAAGAAAAATGAAGGTTTAACGATAGAGCCATGGGTTACATTCACATTAAAAGATCTCGTACGGTCTAACAATATCATCTAGAAGGTGAAATGGTTGCAGTTGACTCGGTGTCGACTTCATTTTTTCTCGAAAGTTACCTGACCATCTGCAATCAAATAGTGAAAGAAAACTAGCCAAACTTGAATTCATGCCGATTGAAAAAAAATGTCGATTATCTTTGAACGCCTGGTGTAAATTTAGTTTTCAGAGGGTCTCTTAGGTTATCATTATATTACCTTTCTTTTTTTTTAATCGATTTCACCCCATGCAAAGCAGTTAAGCCACTAAGACACAAGGGTTTGCAGGGTGTGGACGAATTAGGAACAGAAACAATAATAATGAGCGGGAAAAGAAAAGATTAATCAGGAGGACATTACACTTCAACTATTGAAGACTACAGCCGACTGGAAAGCTCGGAACCGGAAAAGAATTCCACAAGCTTCCGGCGACATCTAGTCAGCTCAACAGTAAATTGATGAGAATTTGACGCCAGTCTAGTATTGCGCATAAATTTGTAATAAAACTTTGTAAACCAACATGGAAATAAGCTTTTTGTTTTTAACTGAATGTCGAACTATTTCAGCCTTGTGCCGGACTTAGCCAAGGTACCAATTTCAAGATCGGCAAATGTGGTAGAGTATCACTTTTACAGACATCACCGTTGAGTACTTCGCAGACACTTTTTAAATAGTTTTCCAATTTAAGTAATCACTTGAAAAGGCTATCTGCTTAAAAAGAAGCAGAAAGTTGAGCGTAAATAAAATTATGTTCTTCTATTACCTACTTCAATACTGTTTTATTTTGATGGTGAGGATAGCAAGAATTAACGTACACCTACTTTGGCGATGTAAGTATCTGTCACCCATATTCATGAAGAGAAAAACTAGTCTCAAACGCGAGTGATCAAATCTAATTTATATCTTTCGCTAGTCGTCTTGTTTTTGCCAGCAATGCTTACAAAAATTAAACGTCTGGACATTCCACTGAAATTAACTTTCTTCTACAAAAACACAGAAACGCACTGCAATATCTATCTATCTATCTATCTATCTATCTATCTATCTATCTATCTATGTGTGTGTGTTTATCTATCTATCTATCTATCTATCTATCTATCTATCTATCTGTGTTTTTATCTATCTATATATGTATGTGTTTATCTATCTATCTATCTATCTATCTATCTATATATATATATATGTATGTGTGTGTATCTATCTATATATGTATATGTGTGTGTTTATCTATCTATCTATATATGCATGTGTGTTTATCTATTTATCTATATATCTATCTATATATCTATCTCTCTCTATATATATGTATGTGTGTGTGTTTATCTATCTATCTATATATGTATGTATGTGTGTGTGTTTTTCTATCCATCTATATATGTATGTATGTGTGTGTGTTTTTCTATCTATCTATCTATGTGTGTGTTTATCTATTTATCTATGTCAGTTTTTTAATTTTAATTTATTTCCCTCATTTTTAATATCTACCTCAGCTTGTGCATAACATTCCCTTCTCTCTCCCCCTCTCTCTCTCTCTCTCTATATATATATATATATATATGTGTGTGTGTGTGTGTGTGTGTTTGTGTTTATAAATATAAAATGTATCCTAAGGTCAAACCAAGTAGTGAGCGTCTTCCTCAGCTTCTTCTTCTTCTTCTTCTTCTTCTCTGTCTATCTCTCTCTCTGTATATATATATATATATATATATATATATATATATATATATGTGTCTGTGTGTTTGTGTGTTTGTGTGTGTGTGTTTTTTTAAAAAGCGTTTCCTGATGTCAAAACAAGTAATGAACGCCTGTTTCCTGATTTCACGCCCTCTTCCGGTCGTATGTTTTTCGTGGTGGCTAGAATATTTATATAATAAGGTCAATGGGTCATACGCGTAGGTCCTTCCGTTTTATTGTATTATCGTAACGGTTACTGGGTAGTGGGTAACTGTTATATTTCTAAATATTCTAAAGGATATTTATTAGAAATTATAATTGGTGACAATGTGGTTATTGGTATATATATAAA